ATACTTCTCAGTCCTGTGCGACCATCGGAATTATGTGCCTCCCGCAGGTCTGTCTCACACTTGCGCCAGAAACTATCAAGACATGGCCTGCAGCTCTTATTTCAGGAGCTGGGAAATACATACGGCGTGTTACATTTCCACCTATTTTTGTCACAGATAGTCCGTACATGTACATATGTACTCCCAATGTCTGGCGGATGACAAGCCTCTTTTCCAATGGCAAACGAGTAAATTCCATTAATCAATGGCTCAATGGCTCACTACCCTTGTCCCACACCAATCAATCACACTTTATGTAGTCCGTACAGTACAGATCCGTACAGGAAAACTCCAAATCCCCCTTTCCATGCATGCATCCTAAACCGTGGCTTTTTCTAGTTTTAAATCCATTAAAGGCTGCCGCTGCCAATGCCAAGGCCTTCTTCTGTCAAGAGCCAGGGTTATAGTAAACGGGATAGTCCCGGCCAGCGACGACTGCACCATTACTAACCTCGGCATCCGGGTACGATGTGAAGGCAATGGGATTATTCTTGTTGTCAACGGTCGACAAGGTCGTGAATCCCTTGTCTTCGCCGTACTGCTCACTCCAGCCGGAAGTAACGGTGAAGTCGCCAAATGTTATAGAGCCCCCGTTAGCATAAGGGCCGTTGACCTCAAAGCTAACGTTTATCACGCTACCGACGTGTGTGTTGATGCGGAACGTCCAGGTGCAGGAGCTGTCGGAGGGACAGTCGCGATGCAGGCCCTCGATGGTCCATTGGGTAACTGGAGCGGTGGAAGTGAGGTGGAATGTTTTCAGTTGTAAGTGATTTATTTTCAAGTCCTGATACTGATGAGAATGGGGGTAATTAGTAGGGCGGAAGTAACAGGTATTTGTACAACAATTTGATACGGAGTGTATCTTTCTGATGTATGGATGGATTCATTCATTCCTCTACGAGATGCGCTGAGCCACAGTCAAGTCGTCTTCTCTCCTCGTTTGCGGTAGTATCGGGCTCGGTGGCCCGCGACGGCTGTGACGGTGCCATAAACGCGTGCAATTTCTGGCCGCGCGAATAGCAGCACGCAAAGAAAAGGGCCCGCGTACTTCGTAATTTGCACCCGGTCGTTGCCGAGCGGCAAGTCGTCTCATGATTGATGATTGATGATTGATTAGCCACTGCCTAGTGGGCCAAGTGCCCACGAAGGCCTCTGTCGTCTGTCTGGTCTATTTCCCCTTCCTTCTTCGAGCCTGCAGGTTTAAACATCCGAGGCAGATGCCGCGAACCTGGCCATTGAGCCTCTACAGAGTCTACACAACCTTGACTGGAGGCGTTCTTGAGCAGAATGCAGGTCGGCAAGAGCGCAAAGCGCTTGAATGTGAGTATTGCTCATGCCCACATAATTTGCATCTTCTTCGTTTGAAATGGAAAAGGTTATGAACAAATGAGGGCTCAGGCTTAGCGGCTAACAATCATGGCAGTGGTCTATCCAAATCCATGATGAACTGTACTCACTAAACAATCACACTCACGATAAGGCGATGGAATTAGTCCCATATGAGAGCTGAGATCCAAACAAGGTACAATACGATTGTTCGAATCGTCTTCAACGAGCCTCGGGGACTGTTTGTCTTTCTTTGGTTTCAGACTTTTTTTCCGAGTTGAGCTCCAGACCTTGACCCGACTCCCAGAGACTCAAGCTGTCTTGTTCTCTTTCAAAACGTATTTGTACAGTGTCCGACAGATCAAAGAGGATGGACGGCTCAGGGCCAGAGTTGGCAGATGCCATAGATGGGCTAAAGTCGGGAAACGCTCCCGGCATGTGGCGGTACAAGTCAGCTGTGCGCTGGGACAAGCCCGTCTGCGAGTTATCTGCGATCAAGATAAAGGAGTTATCTCGGCACAAAATCCATCAAATGCACGATGAACAATCATGGCTATCCATCCGAATATAGAGTGTTGGCCGCATTGTCAGACGCATCGTCGTCGAAATGTGAAATACCCAGAGGGGAATGATGTAATTCCCGATATCGTTCGTTGATGCTTGATCGAGGATAGCCAATGCGACAGGGATCTCAAGCGGCAAATCTAGCTCCGTTCGTTACCCAAAGTAGCTTGGGCCGTGGTAAAAGGGACCGATCAGTCACAATCATGGCGCAAACTTTCTTTGGCAGTTTGGCAGAATCTTTCGCGTAATCCGTACTTTACGGGATACTCCAACAGCACGTGACAAGGATGTAGAGTGAAGCACTTAATTCGAGTCGTCCATTGGCTGAAATGATTTCAAGATGTGGCGCCAATCTCGGTCTTGCCGCCAGCTCGGTGCAGCGGCTGCAGCCATCAGCCAGCCTCACGCATCTTGCCACCAGCCACATACGGATTACATATGACTGCATCACGTTGGCTTTTTTTCCATCCTTGCTCGGCAGACCAGACCGCGCGACCTCCGCCGGGTCCGCCCTCGTCGACAGCCGCTTCCACTCACACGACGACCACGACGCACACGACGCACACGACACACGCTCCGCAGCCAACATTGCTTGCCCATCCACGGGACGCACCGCTTCATCCCATCCTGGCATCGTCCCGAGGAGCTCATCGGTTTCATCCCATCTGTAGTCTGTCGTTGACATTCCCGTATCTTGCACTACCATACTGCAAGCTGCAAGCTCGACTGGCTGCGCATCACGATACCCAACCAACGCTTTTAGCGTCGCCACTACCAAGGATTCGTTTTCATCGCGGAATCTCTTTCTTTTGTCCACCGGTGACTCTCGTTGATTGGAAACCTTGCAAGCAGTTGTTGCGATTCGCTTTCCTCTACCCTGGTCGCTCTCTACGTTATCTCGGCTTGGGTCTACGTCGCGGTCGCGGCCGTTTGGCGAAGCTAATCAAGTGGACCAAGGCGCTTCTAGAAACCACAAGATATGCTCTAGGACGTTGGTGCTTGCTTGTTTGCGTTTTGTTCTTGTCTGTCCATCACATATCCCGCGAGAATTTCTGTATTGTTCAAGCCCAAATTCTCTCCCTCAGTCATATTCTGGAGCCTGTACTCGTTGGTTGGCACCATGTCTGCCCCTTGTACGTACAAACCATTCCGTACCGTGTGGCGATGTGCAGTGGCTAATCTCGAACAACGAAAAAGTGGCTTCCGACGAGCGACAGCGCTATACAGATATTATTGACAATATACTGGCAACCGCCGATCTCGAAACCATCTCCCGCAAAAAGGTTCGACAGGGATTGGAAACCCGTCTCGGCGGCAAGGATTTGAGTTTACAAAAAGTATGGCCCAGAAAAGATGGTAGATGCGTGGAAGCATGTGTTGCCGTCACCCTTTTCTTTCTACTTTTGTTCTTTAGATCATGTTCCAAGTTCCATCATTACAATGTTCGTGGGTGTACTGATGGGGCCATACATAGGATGCCATCAAACGACTAATCGAGGCACGCTTCGACGCGGTTTCTGGCGCAAGCCCTGGTGAGACGACTACATCATCCGTCCCAGACAAAAGCAATCACAAACGCTCCAATGGAGTCTCCGACTACGACGAGACTGACCCGGACCCGTCTGCCTCCCCCGAGCCGGCGAAGAAAAAGGCCAAGCGTTCATCCCCGTCCGAGGATGCGGATGCGCGACTGGCTGCACAACTTCAAGCCCAGGAAAATAGCCTGGCCCGTAGTCGCACCACCCGCGGAGGTGGAGACCGGGCAACAAAGAAGCGCAAGGCACCTCGAAAAAAGAGCGCCAAGAAGGTTCGGGATGATGACAACAGTGAGGTGGATGAAAGCGCGGACTCTGGCGTCAAGAAGCGCAAAGCTGGTGGTGGCTTTCAAAAGCCCTTCAACCTAAGCTCAACACTGTCGGAGCTCTGTGGAGAGACTCAAGTAAGTATCCAATCTGTGTAACAGTTGTAACAGTTGGTAGGCCAGCGTTCACTGACCAATCCGTAGCTTTCGCGTCCACAAGTCGTCAAGCGTCTATGGGAGCACATCAAAGCCAATAACCTCCAGGACCCATCCGACAAGCGCCAAATTCTTTGCGATGCGAAAATGCAGGCTGTGTTCAAGCAAGCCAGAGTTGACATGTTCAAGATGAACAAGGACATTGGCGCCCATCTGTACCCCGTAGAGGAAGCGTAGACTCGATCTTCGAAGGGGTCATCATTTACGTTGCCCGTTACAGATAACCCAATGACAGGACTTTACGATTTTGGCGCCCGAGGGAGTATTTGGAATAAATTGACTATAGTCAACGAGTCTGTACTTTTCATTTTCGTATTTCCCTTCGGTCGGGGGTTTTTTTTTCTTGTTCCATTGGAAGTAGTCCTTCGATGTATTGTTTTCATATATATGTTATGGGTCGGCAGCATGGGATGGCGAAGGAAATTAAGATGTGGGATTTTATTCTGCGCGTTGGTTTCTATCAGAGATCTTATCTCAGCATGTTCTCTGGTAAAGTTGGAGAAGCATGAATGCATACGACGGACGGACATGGGCGAGGCTGGTTCCAGGCAAGGTCACTAAGTGAGTGACATGATGATGCGTGGATCGAGAATGACGAGGGATTGCATTCGAGGATAGCCGCGAGAGACGAACTGTCGCTTTCGAGACAGCTTAGCAGTGGCTAAATCAAGGAGAAGACATCAATGACTGAGGCGTTATTGCGTGTGCACCAACTACTCCGTATTACTGGCTACGTTGTGGACGATGTGGGTTGTGAAGTGGTTGACACATCTTCCACTACCCTACACGAAGTTTTATTGTGGAAGAGTCCTCGCTGTCGAGATGTTGCATTTTCTTTAGTGCCACCTTTCTCCATTTTCTCACGTCTATGTATAGTGGCAATTACGATGGTTTCACCTTCTGATATCTGCCTCATTCTTGTACTGTTAAACTACCTCTTCCACCACAAACGCTGAGAGCATGGAACAAGTTTATGAAAAGAACAAGATAAGGAATGATAGGCGACCGTTCCGCACAATTCGGAATAAGACCAAGGAAAAAAAAGAAACTCGTGTGCCACAGCGAGGACTCGAACCTCGGTTTCCAGTGATCCTAACCTGAGTTGACCACAAACTGGTGTCCTTACCCCTAGACGACTGCAGCTGGTTGTACGGGTGTTGTCGGAATCACCAGCTTCAATTGCATGATAAACCTTTTGAACGCGGCAGGGCACTTCATCTGACTCCTACACCGCGCTTGGTCTCCAAAACTAGCCCCACTGTCCTCGTTTGGCCTGGCCTTGGAGCAAACGGAGCAAACGGAGCTGACCTGGAACCTTCCGGCAATGGCAACAAAATTGACGTGTCCGACTTTCGTCCAAAAATTACAAATTACCAAGCACTTTTGCGAACAGGAATACATTCCGCAAACACGACCCCCGCCACAGCGTAGTCTCTCGCATCCTGGCCCGTCTTTTCCCAGCCGAACTTGCATCACCCGAGACAACGCAAGACTGATCGAGAGGAACAAGGCACTCTCTACATACCCAAACCAATATCCCGTAAACTGGTAGCAACTTCGATCGCCATAGTGGCCATGCCGGAGGGAGCATCCCAATCCGGCCGAGGAGGCGAGGGCCCAAGAGGACGTGGGCGTGGTCGTGGCCGAGGAAATTCTGGCGGTCGAGGCCGACGAGGAGGCAAAACTGGTGGAGGAAATGCCGGTGTCCCATCGAACCCAGCTGCTCAACAAGACGTCGCCGCTACCTCTGCTCGGGCAACCATGCTGAAGCAGCAAACTCAAGCTGCCGCCGCGGCTGCTGCGGCTGCTGCAGATGAAGAAGATGACGACGCTGGGGTGTGCTTCATCTGCGCCAACCCTGTTGCGCACCATTCCATTGCTCCGTGTAATCACGCTACCTGCCATATTTGTGGTTTGCGTATGAGGGCACTGTACAAGACGAAGGACTGTGCGCATTGTCGAGTAAGTCGGCCAACTGACAAAAAGCTTATCGTGTGTTGATCGATGACGCGCACCAGCGAGCTGTACGGAACTGATGGTTAACTTTTTTTTTTTTTTTTTGCATAGACCCCTGCACCGTTCGTCGTCTTCACCGACAACGCTGACAAGCGTTTCGAGGAGTTTTCCGGCAAGGACATCACCACAACCGACTCCAACATCGGGATCAAGTACACGAACGAAGACATCGTTGGCGATACCGTCCTGCTGCTCAGATACAACTGCCCCGATGACGACTGCGACTTTGCTGGCCTCGGATGGCCAGATCTCCACCGACACGTCAAGACCGTACATCGCAAACGCATGTGCGACCTTTGCACCAGGAACAAGAAGGTCTTCACACACGAGCACGAACTCTTCTCGGATAAGGAACTGGAGAAACACATGAGACACGGCGACGACAAGCCTGGCGCCGCGGACCAGACAGGCTTCAAAGGACATCCTCTGTGTGGTTTCTGTGGCGAACGATTCTACGACGATGACAAGCTCTACGAACATTGTCGAATGAAGCACGAGCGCTGCTTCATCTGTGACCGCCGAGACTCCCGGCATCCGCACTATTATCAGGATTACAATGCTCTGGAACAGCATTTCCGCAAGGACCACTATCTGTGCTCCAACAGCGAATGCATGGAGAAGAAGTTTGTCGTATTCGAATCCGAGCTGGATCTTCAGGCCCATAATATCAGCGAACACGCAGGTAGAACCGTCGGCAGAGACGCCCGACTGGTAGACATGTCTTCATTCGACCTCCGACAATCATACCAGAACGAAAGACGCGGCCAGCGAGATGGCGAGGGGCGAGGCAGAGATCGCAGAGGAGGAGGTGGCCGAGGCAGAGACCCTAACCAGGACACTGTTCCGCCAACTTCTGCTCAACCGCTACGCCGGGATGAGCTCGCCCTGCAGCGCCAAATGGCCATTCACTCGGCCCAATCCGTATCCAACAGAAGTTTTGGCGGACAGCTCTCAGCTCCATCGCCGCCCGGTGCCGGTGCCGGTGCCGGTACCGGTACCCGCCCGACATCGTCATCGGGCACATCAACACCCACACGGGATGCATACACGACGAACTCGCGCGCCATGGCGGATTCTTCGAATCTCTCGCCCGAAGAGCGAGCCCGCCTCGTCCGTCACAGTTCTGTCGTCGAACGAGCAGCCAACCTCCTCGGCAACGACGCCAACAAGATCAACACTTTCCGCAACCACATCTCGACCTACCGCCAAGGCGCTTTCACCGCTCCCCAACTTGTCGATGCGCTCTTCACCCTGTTCGCCGATGTTGAACCCAACGCCCTCGGCACTCTGGTCCGGGAAGTAGCAGACTTGTTCGAGGACAAGACCAAGGCAGACAACGTCCGCAAGGCCTGGCAGGACTGGCGCGCCATCAACGAGGACTATCCCAGCCTGCCCGGCCTAAGTGGCATGCAGGGCGCCACGTCCAGCTCCAGCGGATGGGCCAACGCCGCGACCGCAAATCCAGGCCTGCCCAACGCCGCGCCGGCCCAGAAACACTCCCACCGAGTTCTGAAACTCAAGAACAGCACCCGTCTCGGAGGTCCAACGCCCGCCACAATCAAGAAGCCTCCCAACTGGACCGCTTCCTCCTCCTCCTCCTCCTCCTCCCCCTCCACCGCAGCAGCACAAGCCCGGGGACCCGTATCATCCTCATCCGCCTTCCCCTCCTTACCGTCATCATCCTCCACCGCGGCCACATCTTCCCGCTCAACATGGGCGTCCTCTCAGCAGCAGCGACAGCCCCAACGACAGGCAGTAGTAGTAGCTCGCTCGCAAGACGCCTTCCCCGCCCTCCCCGCGGCACCCAAACCCACCACCACCATCTTTGGCTACGGCTCCGGCAGAGGCATTCGTCGGGGCTACGGTCACGCAGAGTCCAGCTTCCAATGGGGAGGCACAGCCACCTCTGCCGAGAGCTCGGCGCCCCTCGAAGAGGCGGAGGCGGCGGATGAAGGCAAGGGCAAGAAGGGCAAGAAGGGCAAAAAGGTCCTCGTTCAGTGGGGATAGTAAAAGTATAGTAGTATAGACAGCGAAGTGGAAAAAGTCTGTGATACAAAGAGTACTACATGTGAAATGTAAAATGTAAATTGTAAATGTAAATGTGAAATGTAAATATAAATAAACGAGACGAGGCCCTCTGCAGCCAGTCAGTTCCCACGCCTAGCATGGCCACAAGGACTTTTTAAAATTCAGCACTAGTTTTCGCGAGAAGTTGGCCGCGCCAGTCTTGCCGTTGAGACAGAACCCGGATAATCAGTGATGAAATTCTAGCCAGACTGGAGACTGGGTGGTTGAAACCATCTTTTACGAATTCCGCGTCGAGCAACGTACGCCGAGAAATATATTCCATGCCATTTTTTTTTTTTTTTTGCATTCATTTACACATGCACATGACAAGATACACATTGAAAGATGACGCTACAGACCGGCCGGCACGTAGTATTCTCTGAAACGGTCCGTCTCGTCCCACTGAACATTGTAGACAACGTTCCAACAGACGAGGAGAAGATCGGGAAATCGGACAGTCCAAAAACTCAGGTAGCCGTCAGGAAGAGGCCCAACCTGTCGCTTCAAGGTATCCGTCATATCTTCGTAGTGGTTGCGCTTGTTACGAAGTGCCCTCAGCAGGTCCAACAATCGAGAACCCGTGTATTTGCGCTGCTTCCCCAACGAGTCGACAAACTCTCGAGGAAGGACGCGCAGGAAGTCACTCTTCGTGACTTGCGCGGCGCATCGTTCCAGTTCCGACAACGCCAGCGAAGGTGGGTCCCGAGGTTCCTTTTCGAAATGATCAGAGACATCACACAAGAACGACAGCCTCTTCTTGGCTGACCAGAAGAAGGGGTGAGACATGACCTCTGTTGCAATGGGTCGGCGTTTGGGATCCGCATCAAGCATAGAGGCAATGAGGTCTTTGGCTTCGCAGGCAAAGTCGCCCAGCGCATCCAGGGGTTGCAGGTTGTAGCTGCCCTTGCGGATATTGACCTCTCGCATATATCTACCACCACTGTCGAAAGGGTGAGAACCATTCGTCAACACATAGAAGAACACCAGTCCGAGAGAGAAGATGTCAATGGCACGCGTAGCTCTCCGGTTGTGCGGCATGGTGCCATCTTGAACCAGAACCGACCCCGATCCGCTGTGCGTGCTGGTGTCCGCGAGGCTCAAATCGCGCCCGTCATCGTCCAGCAGCAGCTCTGGGGCCCGCCATCCCGACGTTCCGGCCGCTCGACCGGTAGTGGCTCCGAATGATGATTGTCCGCCTTCCAACTTCTTGCAAAGACCGAAATCGGACACCAACAATCGAGGCCTACCGTCCTTGCCCATATTGACAAGAATATTCTGCGGCTTGAGGTCTCGGTGAACAATTCGAAGACTGTGCAAATGGCTGATACCGTTCGTGATCTGGTACAACACGCCAGGTAGGTCCATCTTGCCTGCATTGGCAAGTTCACGGAACGCATGATGTCCTTCCACGATTTCAGCCAGCGATGCCGCACAACGCTCCAAGGCAATGTACAAAAACCCATCACGGATTTGCTGAGAGTAGTAGCGAATAACTGGTGCAAGGGTTAGCAACCTAAAATATGGAGAGAGAAAATTCTTCTTGTCCGCGTACCATTCGGGTGATCGTCGCTCTCTCGCAAGAGTCTTGTTTCTTGCGACGCTATGTCGTAAAATTGAATCAACATGCGCTTGACAGCGACCTCGCGGCCATCGAATCTGCCGGCAAAGACGAGAGTACCATTGCTGCCAGTTCCCAGTTGCTCGTCGGTGTTGACTTCAATGTTGCCCATACGAATGACAGACCCACTGACCGCTTGCATATCATTGGCAACCGTCATGACATCCGGTTCCAAGCTGGGACGGTCACCGAGCCGCTTAGCGTTGTTGACTGCCTCCTCCACGGTGGCGTTAGGCACCTCATCGTCTCGAGATTGTGAGTTTTCTCGAGGCCGACCCTTTCGGTGCTTCACACCGCCGCGGCGACCACGGCGTGCCTTCCTCTTATCGGGCGCAGGACTGGTGGCCGTGGTGGGATGGTCTCCCACCTCGCTCGGTTTGCCTTGTTCAGTTTTCACTTCGTCAGAAACCGGTTCATTAGACTGTGGAAATTTGATCCCGCT